ACAGATGAGTTGGGTATTTGGAACTAACAACAAACGAGACGACGATGGTTAGCTTAGAGAATAACAAATGAAAAGTCCAGAGCGACATGTTCGAGCTCATCGTCAAGGCGGATGGAGGCCGCTGCGCGTGTCCGAAGAACACGGACAGCTTTGAATACGGAGGGTACCAATTACTAGTGAAAACAGGATTGGACAATTCCGTAGTGCAGAACGACAGGGTGTATCGCCACGAAGCAAAATTGAAGAGGAAGAGCGCCAAAAAGACCAACGCAACACGGACACGACCCTTGCCGGCGCAATCTGCAAAGTTGAATCTGATTGAGCCCATTTGGGGACATTTAAGCAAGGCCTCTATCCAACTTAAAATACCCGGCAGTTGCTCCTATCCAAATCTGAAACAAAATGTCTGCTGTACTTTTCAACCATGACTGCGAATTGACAAAATGACAGCAGCAGCGACAGCGAGCGATGCAAATCTGATCACTGCGTCCTCCATTGGTTCCCATTGGATTTTCGCTTTTAAAGTAGAAGATAAATGGTCAGTAAGGTGTGCGCAGTTTTGGGCACGGGCTGGATCCTGGTCTGCGAAAGCACTTTATGCGGGGTGTGTGCGCAGTTGAGAGGTTGCAGGTAGCTGAACGAATAACCTTCTTCCAGGGTTTAAACGCATCGGGGAAAATTCAACCGACTACAAAATTTGCTCATGCATGCAAAGTGGAAGTTGCTAAAGAGGTCCCACAAAGCAATTTTTCGGTAAACCAAACATGGCAGTGTGTTATACTAGGTGGGTTTTCAACTGACGGCAATGCTGGACAAGGTTGGTTAAGAGGAACCTCCTAAATTATTTCAATCGTGACTCTACTCACGTCATGGAACTGAGAGAAAAGCACGACGTCAATGATGCAAAGCGCTTTCTCTTGCATCGCCAAACGTAAGCTTAAAACAATGCAACAATTACACAATGGTGCAATCTGCGCCCTCTCATAGTGTTTTCCTCCGATAGAGCGAAGAGAACCTTACTGACACTGTCCGATATGGGACCTACACAGTAGGTCCAAAAAACACATTGAGTGGAAAAGCGAGTGGAGGTCACTTCAAATTTGCATTTCACTAATAACGGAACTGTGGGCAACAACTAGAAACAAATGACGATAGCAATTTTAGTCTCGCGTCCACAACTATAAGCCTGATTTTTAAAAAAACTGAACGAAGGGAGAAGCCTAGTGAAAATGGCCCTGAGGAGTTCAAATACAGGCTGCTCAAACATTTAGCAGATCATGCCTGAGAGTCTGACATCTTCACTCAATTCAGGCACTACTTGACATCCAGCTCTCGTGATGCATCGTGGAATGTAGGGTCCGCATCTGGACAGCCGCTCTAACTGGCAGGTGAAACAAGACAAGAGTGACTTGAGGGACAGGAAATGGCTGCTACTGACTGTCGTCACATCCAACAAGTGTGCACAGATCAGAGCCATCGTCTACAAACCCAACCACATCCTGGATCGTCGGGTGATGTGGGAAAACCTGGTAGAGGGATGGTTTCCCGCAGTACCTAGATGTGAATGTGCACGTATCTGAAAGGCCCACCGTGTTCTCACCACTGCAAGGTGACGCAGGGACGGTGACTTGTGCGTGAATGAGATTATAGCTATAGTAGACTTGCGCTGCCTCTGTCGCAGTCTCACCTCCCCAAGTGAATAAGACCGGAGGCGTGGGGGCGCAGGTGGCTGGCGCAGCCGGGGATACCCCTAAGCATACCGCTACAGCTGGCTAGGGGGTCACGGAACGGGGATGTCATAGAGGCCACATAAAGAAGGGGCTATTGCGGCCTGACTCTCAGTCCCTCAGTCGGCCACTCCATAAAAAACACTGGGCTGGCTGCATGTATCCACCCATTCATTCAACAGACCAGTATGCAGTTCCGAAACGGTGTCAGACAGTGAAGCCTCCTGTAATTATGAGTGACAGTCATCATACAGTAGTACCGTTTTGGCTTGTGATCTTTTTGCAAATCAGGTACTACCTGCGACCTGTTTCTTTATCAAATCAGAACCCGCAAGTCCACTTACATAGACATGATTTCGACCGTCACTAACGACAACGTTCATGATGATAGAAGCAGACAGACGAGTTCCAGGAAGCAGATCAGAAGTAGAAGATGCGATCACTTGAACAAGAAGTTTATTGGCCTGACGTTTCGGATTCTGGCTTGAAACTATCACCGGAAACAACCGCAAAAAGGTGTGTTCCACAGTGGGGTCGAGTGCAAGGACGGTGACTTGCACGTAAACCAGTCGGTGATAGTAAACTTGCACCGCATCTAAAAAAAACTCACTCCTCCATTACTCACCTGAACCCCGTGTCAAGACGGAGGCAAGCAGACTGCAAATGGCGCTGGGTGCAGTGGCTGACGAAGTTAAACAGCCCGTCTACGCGTGCTACACGCACCTGGTCCGCACACGATGGACAACGTTTTCGCAGAAGCAAGGAGGCGGCGCGAGTTACATGGG